CTCCGGAACCCCCTGGAACCCCCCCGATCCCAGCCCCTCGCTGCCCCCCGGGAGCTCCCGGAACCCCGGCCCCCACTGCCCCCGGGAGTCCCGGAACCCCGCTGCCCCCGGGAGTCCCGGAACCTCCCGGAACCTCGACCCCCACTGCCCCGGGAGCTCCCGGAACTCCCGGTCCCGGCCCCTCGCTGCCCCCCCAGGGAGCTCCCCCGGAAGCTCCCGGTCCCCTCCCTGGAACCCCCGATCCCGGTCCCCCTCTGCCCCCCCGAGAGCTCCCGGTCGTCCCCCCGGATCCCCAATCCTGGCGCTCCCAATCCTGGCCGCCACTGCGCGTCGCCCCCCCCCCCGGGACGCTCCAGGTCCCGGCCCCCGGCTGCCCCACCTCGGGAGTCCCCCATCCTGGCCCCCATTTCCCTCCCAGGAGCTCCCGGTCCCCCTCTGCCCCACGTTGAGATTCCCCTTCCTGGCCCCCCAACTGCCCCGGGAGCCCTTGATTCTGGTCCCTCTGGGGTCCCCGGCCCGGTTCCCTCTCTGATCCTGGGACCCCCGATCCTGGTCTGGGGCCCCTTGAGACCTCACTGTTCTGCTGGTTTGGGGCATCAAGCACCAGGTGGGGGTGGGCTCCTGGCCCCCCACAGCCCTCTGGGGCCCCCTGATCCTGGGCTGGGCCCCCATAGGCTCCTCCCCCATGACTTAATTGCTCTCCTGGGCTGGGGTGTCTAGCACCAGGTGTCCCCCAGGGCCCCTTGATCGAGGCCCTTATTATTCTCTGGGGTGCCCCTGATCCTGGCCCAGGACCCTCTGACCCTGAGCCTCTTTGATGTCACTGCAGCTTGGGTGTCTAGCCCTGGATGAGGGTGGGGCCCCTGGGACACCCCCCACCCCCCAGCCTGAGAGTTTGTGATTCTCCCTCACCCCTGTCTGCCTCCTGGGAGTGAGTTGTGGGGTTCAGCACCTGGTGAGACCAGGACTCTCGGGGCCCTCTGACTCCCTCCAGCCTAGGACCTCACTGTCTCTCTGAGCTGGGGTATCCCCCACCAGGTGAGACACCCCACACTATTCCCTCCTCCTGGGCTGGGCATCTCCTCTCCCTCTGCTTCCCCGCCCACCCCAGCATGAGTCACAATGTGAGTTCTGCAGAAGCTGCCCCTTTCCCCAGCCTTCATCTGAGGCAGAGGGTCTGATCGGGGTGGGGGTGGTGGTGTCCCAGTTCTGCAGGAGTTAGGGAGATCTGACCCTGTGGGTGGGGGTGTGAACTTTGTGGAGTTTCCTGCTGAACACCAGTTTGTGCCCCCACAGCTCCCGGCGGCTGCGCTCCTTAAATAGTCCTACAGGGCTACAGCCGTGGAGCTCGGTAACCAGGTCACAGCACAAGGCTCCCTGGGAACGAGGGCAGGATTATTCCAGCCTGCAGACAGGGAACGTGAGGCTCCCAGGCGCTGCTGGCATCCCAGTCCTCTGCTCAGACCCCATCCCAGGGAGCCCTGTGGGTTTAGAAGGGGTGGCCTGCGCCTTTCCAAGCATGTGTACCGCATTCCTCGCTCTGGCGTGTGAGCACCTCCGCCCCCCTGCCTGACGGCGACTGGCCCGCCTGAGGGACACTGGCAGGCAAGAGCTAGTGAGATCCCGAACGGGAAAAGCCCCTCGTGACCCGGGTCCGAGGTGGGGCGCAGCATTGTCGCGCAGCGGCAAGCTGAAAGGGGGAGAACGGCCCAGCCCCACGGTGCCAAGTGGGACCTGGAGCAGGCGTCTACACTGTGGGATCAGTGTCTCAACCCACACTTCTCTCGGGTGCGCTGTACCAGGGCCACCCCTTAGCCGCCGGCTGAGACCAGAAGCCAAGGGACCTGCCTGCTGATTCCAGGGGCTGTAAGGGACACTCCAGTCCAGCCCCCTAGAAAGCCAGAGCTCTGTGTCCTGCTTAACCAGCCCCAGAACAACCTGGACGTCCCAGTGTAGCAGGCTGATGGTACGTGGGCCTCGGAGCATGGAGTGTGGTGGTCCCTTACCCCTAGCCTGGCCAGCTGCTCCCTTCCTGGCTGGTCGTTCCGGGTGGTGCCTTGGCTTCGTCGGCTCCCTGCTGTTTGGTGTGTTTAATTTGTGCCCCGGCTTAAAAAAATATCACGTGCCTGGGTAAGAAACGGAGCAGGTTTTCGAACCGGTGGCTCGAATGTCTGGCGGCTCGCGGAGTTCTCTCGCGTGGGCTCCCGTGCGCATGTACTTGCAGTGTTGTGTCAAGCTGCCGGGACCCCACCGCGTGCCGTCGCTTTGTGTCTGTTAACGCCGGGGCTCTTCGTGTCGAGGGCCCTCGCGACGGACGGTTCCCCTCTCAGGAGCGGGTCCGTGAGCGGTACAGGGCGCGGTTCTGTTTTGACTCCCCAGGGCAATGTCTGCTAGGCGCTTAAGGGGACTCAGCTGGCCATTAATAACTCTTGTACGGTGTCCTTCACCCCTGGCTTGCAAGCACTTCACAGAGAGGGACGTACCATTTAGGGGGAACCGAGGCACGGGGCGGGGATGGGACCTTGCCCAAGGTAGTAGAGCTGGGATACGAACGGGGGTCTCTGAGGCCTGGCGCGATACCCACATGGCCTCCCAGTGACTCTGCGGGAGCTTGGTTACCTTCTAGCAGCTGATGGCAGAGCCCCCAAACGGCGCTGCGCAGCTTTGGGGACTGTCCGCACGGAGTCTGTAGGGCAAAGCCGGGCGGGGCGGTGACGGCCCCGCCCCAGAACTCACGCGGTCGGGGCATCTCCCCTTGTGCTGGGCTAAAACGGGCGCTCCCACCTCACGCCCGCCCTCCCAGCCAGCTCGCTCCTCCCACAGGCTTGATCGGCGTTTGCTCCCTGTGCCTGGGCTTCGGGGTGGAGTCTGAGCGGCTACAGGCCGGAGCCTGGCTTGTCCCAGCTGCTGCTTTCCTCTGTCGTGCTTGGCACCACCATGCCAAGCTGTGGGCGAGCCCCCTCCGTGTTAATCCACAGCCCGTTCCCAGAGCTCCCTCGAGCGCCAACTTAAATTGGATCTTTATACACTGTTCCCCTGGGCTCCTGTCGCCCCGTTCCAATGGCCTGGCTGTTTGTTACCCCATCCAGTAGGGGGCGCTCGCAGGTTGCCTGACACTTGCTGGGTTTTTTTTTGGCCATCCTAGCTGGCTCGGCAGGGACTTGCTGGGAACACTGCCCTACCCTGCCATGCTGTTAGAGGAATGGAAGCTGTCCCGTGTGGCGTTGGCTCTGTGCGCCTGGGCGAGGTTGGCAGGATACCCAGCGGCAGGTCTGAGCGCGCCTGGGGGTTGAACGCCGCCTGCTGACGCTCCAAACCTGCGCGCGGGGCGGGGAGTAACCCGCTTGTCCTGTGTTCCCTTGCCAGATCAATGAACTCAGCCAGGTTCCCCTGCCGGTGATGCTGCTACCCGATGACTTTAAAGCCAACTCTAAAATCAAAGTGAACAATCATCTCTTCAACAGGTGAGTCGCGGCAGGAGGCTGCCGCCCCCACGGAGTTTGCGGGGAGGGGGGCGTGTGCGCGCGCACAGCTCGCTGGCTGGTATCGAAATGGCTGAGGTTGGATCTGGTACATTACACCCCAGTGCACCGGAGATCAGACTGACTAGCTCACGAGAAAGCGGGGTCGGCGTCCTCCCAGGCGACAGAGTCCTGCCTCGGTGCGGGGCACTGGACTAGACGACCTTTCGGGGTCCTGCATTTCTCTGATTGCTTCTGTGCCGCCCTCCTGGCGTCACCCGCCGAACTTTGAGTCAGCCCCCTCCCGGAGAGCTCACTAACGCTCTCCGGGCTCTTCTCGCAGGAGCTGATGTGTCCTCCAGTTTGGGCAGCTTTGTTTGGGTTCCCCAGATTTCCACCCTGGGTGCAGGGGCGTCGCGGGGCCACGGGATCCATGCCGTGCCGCGGCTTTTAAACAGTCCCTTGGAGGAAGCCCTCAGCGAGCCAGGCCGCTCCCCGACGGGGTCTCGCCCTTCCTCAAGGGTCGAGATCGACTCGTGGGCTGAGCTTTTCCCCCTATTGACGCGCCGACACCAGGCAGCCGTTTTCAAAACTGCGCAGGGTTTATTAGGCAGCTGGAGCCCAGCCTGGGAAGCCCTGGGGGGAATGGAGAGACTAGAGGGTAAGAGGGCTCTGCCGAGCTCCGCCCAGCCAAGCTGCCGAAGATCCCGTCTCCGCTCGCTCGCCGTCAGTCCCAGGTCAGAGCTCGGTGTCCCGGAAAGGCCAGTTCCGATCCTACCCCGTGGTGTCCCGTTTGGGGTCACAGTTCATTCCCTGAGGCGTCCATTGTCTTCCACTGATACAGGCTGGTTCTAGCCGGCCCCCGATGAGCCTCCCCGCCCATCCCTACGTCCCACACCCCTTGTGTCTTCTGCTCAGCCTAGGAGCAGCATTTTCACCTCTCGCGCCCGCTGCGCCTGGCTCCTGAGTCTCTCTCCCTGCACTGGGCGCAGCCTCTGGTGCCCTCGCAGTGGCAGCCCCTTGGCATTGCTGTGCTCGGCATTAGCCGCCGTTTCCCCAGCCCCTTCCAGGCCTAACACTCTGCCCTGGAGCTAGGAGCCCTCGCCCAGAGCTCTGGCTGTGCCGGTGCCCTCCCCTGCTGCCCCTCCCCTCTCGCCTGCCAGCCTTAACCACCCTGTACCTGGGCCCAGGCGAAGACTCAACAGCAAACGTGACCTAAAAGCTCCCGTGTGGGTCTCGCTTGCCCGGAGCGGGGCAGCTGGGGACAGCCCTGCCACTCTGGCAAGGAGCTGGCTCCTGGAGCTCTGTCTGACAGCAGGGGCCAGGCAGGTGGTGCACGCTGCTCCATTGTGATCACTTAGTCAAGAGCTGCCCCGAGCTAATTCCTACAGCAGATCGTTTGGACTCGCAGCCCGTCGGGAGTTAAAAACGGTCCGCGATGGAGGCTCCACCATGGGGTAATTCCCCGCCCTGTTAAACGTCTGCCGCCTTTGTCTAGCTTCGGCTTCCGGCCGCTGGCTCTTGTTCGGACTTTCTCCGCTCGGTGGAAGAGCCTGTTGTTAGATCTTTGCGCCCCACGTAGATACTTACATACAGAGATCAGGTTCTCTGAAAACACCTGCTCCGTGTGCCACGGCCGTCAAAAAGCGAACCGCGTTAGGAGCCACTCGGAAAGGGAGAGAGAATCAGACAGAAAATATCCTAACGCCACTATCGAAATCCACGCTCCGCCCACCCCTTGAAGACTGCACGCAGATCTCGTCACCCTGCCAGAGAACTGGAAAAGGGCAGAGAATGATTAAGGGGATGGAGCAGCTCCCATGTGAGGAGAGATTAAAAAGACAGGGACTGTTTCTCTTAGAAAAGAGACGACGGAGGCAGGTCTATAAAATCATGACCCGGGTGGAGAAAGTGACTAGGGAAGTGTTGTTTCCCCCGTCTCGTGACACAAGAACCAGGGGTCAGCGCCCCCCAGCCGCCTTGCACCTGCTTGCTGACCCCCTGCCAGCGTCCCCACCTGCGAGGGGATCCCTGGCTCTGTCTGGTGTCCTCCAACCTCTGCCTTCTGCTTCGACTGCCAGCAAGGAGGGTCCCCGACGCCAGGGGCGGGTTAAGGTGCCCATGAGCCGTGCGGTATTGGACTGAATCACACGGTTACGGCTGTGACTGTGCTAGGCTCCTGATCTCTTCCTGGGGCCAGCTGGTCCCTCTGGTTCTAAACACTGACGCCCTTCCCCTTTGCCCCACCAGGGAGAACCTGCCCAGCCACTTCAAGTTCAAGGAGTACTGCCCGCAGGTCTTCCGCAACCTCCGCGAGCGCTTCGGGATTGACGACCAGGACTACCAGGTGGGTAGCCCGCTCCCTCGGTACCGATAGTGTGTGGGGGCAGGAGGGTGAATGTGTGTCCTGGGCCTCGCGTTCCAGGGCCCTGTGTGCATAGAGGGGGACGTACGCAGACCCACCCTGCGCCCCTTAAAACTTTCCTTGGGACGCCTGCTTCTTGGCCAGAGGCGGGTTGGGACCAGCTGAGTCTCTGATATCGCTGGGGTGGTGCCTCTTGGCAAGGCAGGCCGCCGATAGCAGATGCTCCTGAAACTCACCATTTGCCCCATTAAAGGATGGAATGGCCT